AATTAGATACCAGTGCAGCTGTTAATTAAAAGAATCAGGTGCACGGAAGTGTATGATTGTAGGACAGGTTGTGAATGTGAGTGGTGAGGTGCAGTAGCAGTGCTTCTCAAACTTTAATGGGCATATGGATTAACCAACCTAACTTATTTAGTGTAGATTCTGATTCAGGAGGTCTGGGGTAGAGTCCGAAATTCTCTTGATTCTTAATAAGCTCTCAGGGTGCTGATGCTGCTGGGCTATATGGCCCATGCTCTGGAAGGCAGTAAAGGATGTTTGTTTCTTCAGTGAATAGAGTCCGTCTAAAGAGCCTTCAAGCCAGAAGGATCTGGCCAGCATTTTGTTGGAAGGCATAATGTAGTTTGGTGGAAGAGAGGGGCTTAATGGACAATGTAACCAGCCTGTGTAAAGACTCAGACCACAGAGTATCCAATATTTGGGGGTTATAAGAGGCCTGTTGTTGGGTTTCAGGGGTGGATCCCTGAATCTTTTGCACCTGAGGATTTTCTCTCTCTCTCTCTCTTTTAAATTATTTATTTATTTATGTGAGAGAGCATGAGAGGGGAGAAGATCCTGCTGAGCAGGGAGCCCAATGTGGGACTCAATCCTGGGATTCCAGGATCATGACCTGAGCCAAAGGCAGTTGCTTAACCAACTTGAGCCACCCAAGTGCCACAGCATTTTCTCTTTTTATGAAATTTTCTCTTGCTCTCTGCCTGACATTTTTGATTTAACTTCTTTCAAATCTGGACTTAGGTAGACTGGTACTACCAAGGGCCTTGAGAGCTTCTAGGAGGGGAGTGATTGGTTGGCAAGAAAACATTCTATGTGTGGGTCTTGGGAGTTGGATGTGAACCCATCAGTCAGTAACCATGCCTGGAGAGCCTCCTTAATTAGCTGCCTGAGCTCTGGACAGGGCATACTCAGACTGACTTATTGCTTGGACCCAGATGAATAAACGCATTAATGAGGGAGCAAATAAATATGTATTTCCAGATGGTAGGGATTAATTTTAGCTATAGTTTACAGTTTTCCTTATTTTTCCACTTGTGCTAGAAGACCAGTATGGATGTAGTTTAAAGAATTGTTCGGTTCAGGAGGCAAATACTAAAGCCAAATCATGTCTCTTCTCTTTGCATTCATAGTACTCCATGAAGAGCTAAACAGTTCTCTAAGCCCCGGTCTAGTCTCAGCCTTAGTGCTTGCCCTTCTGAGAGGTATTTTCCATGAGGCTCTGAAAGCAGTACTGACCTGTACCTCGTCAACATTTGGTTCCACAGCCTCTCCTAGTACTTTATAAAGTGCTTCCACTCTCCCAGGAGAGTTTGGCAAGAGGAAAGACAATGAAATCACTTAGTCACCTTGAATGTTCTTACCCTCCCCAGCCCCCCAGTGAAGTCAGAAGTCTTATTCTCTATTTTCTAGCCAGAGAGTAAGGTATTGATAATAGCTGACTTGATCACTATCATGGAGAGGCACACCATAGCTGGCCTGGTTCTTTGGATCTTTCTTAGTTTTCCCTTCAATGGAGTTGTCTTGCTTCTTTTTTTAAAGATTTTATTTATATATTTGAGAAAGAATGAAAGCGAGAGATCACAGAGCTCCAGAGAGGGAGGAGCAGATTTGTTGCTAAGCGGAGAGCCCAATGTGGAGCTCGATCCCGGGACCCTGGAATCATGACCCGAGCTGGAAGCAGTTGCTTAACCACCTTGCTTCTTTGAAGATGTAGTTGTGGTGGTGGTGGTGTTGTTTTTGACATTGAGTTTTTAAACATGATTTTCTGGGTGCCTCCTGGTATCAAATGAATACTTCTTCCCCAGATACTTATTAAGTATTTTTCAAATGTTTATTTATACTCACATTTAAGCACCTCCAGGTGGGATGCTTGTTTGTCAGCATACTTTTACTGTATTGGAGAGAATTCTGTTCAATTCCTCTAGTACTCACTCAGTGCTTAGTATATGCTCAGCTTTGTTCTATTCTCCTTGAGGGACACAAAGCAGTGTATTCTCCTTGGCTCTGTGGGATCTTCCAGGTTTATGGGATGGAAGCAAAGTAGTAGACATAAGCAGGCCAAGACTAGGGTGAAGTAAAGGAGGCACTAGGGTGCAAACTTTAAGGAGGCACTCATTTTCAAGGTCATGCAAATGGAGGGTCAGTACCTGACAATGAGTGCCTCCTTAAATTTTGAGCCCTAGGTCCCTTGGTTTACCCCCACCTTCCTTAGTCCTGGTCCTGGCCTTAAGAAGCAGTTACATTGGGGCATTTGTGTGTCTCAGTTGGTTAAGCATCTGCCTTAGGCTTGGGTCATGATCCCAGGGTCCCAGGCTCCCTGCTCAACAGGACACTTGCTTTTTCCTCTCTGCCTGCCCCTCTCCCTGCTTATTCTCTCCCTCTCTTTCTCTTTCTGTGTCAAATAAATAAATAAAATATTTTTTTTAAAAAAACAGTTACATCACTTGGAAATCACATCTAAGATAACATAAGACTATGAATGACTGGTATGGAACAGTGCTTTTCAGATTTAATGTGCATATGGGTCATCTGGAGACCTTATTAAAAGGAAAATTCCGATTCAAGGTGGGGTCTGGAGTGATGCCTGAGATCTGCATTTCTTTCTTTCTCTCTCTCTCTACCTTTCTTTCTTTTAAGATTTTATTTATTTATTTGAGAGAGAATGAGAGCACAAGAAGGGGGAGGGTCAGAGGGAGATGCAGACTCCCCGTTGAGCAGGGAACCCGATGTGGCACTCCATCCCAGGACTGCAGGATCATGACCTGAGCTGAAGGCAGTCACTTAACCAACTGACCCACCCAAGCGTCCTGAGATTCTGCATTTCTATCAAGCACCCAGACAATGCTGATATGACTTTTTGTGCCACACTCTGAATAAGGAGAAAAATCCATGCTTGAGAAAAGCAGAGGGCCAAAGTCACTAAGCTAGGGGATCAAGGCAGGCTTCTTCAGAGAAGGTAGAAATTGCAGCTAGGTTCTCAAAGGACAGCTTGGTTTTGGATGGGATAAAAGAGGGAAATGTTGCAAGCAGAAGGAAAAATATACTAGAGATAGGAATGAGTCCCATGTGTTTTGAGACATTGAACAGACTGGTTTGGCAAGATGCAAGTTCAAGTTGGAAAAAAGGAAAAGAGTTTTGATAGGTAGCATGAAATCTGTACTGGGTTGTTTATTTAGAAATGTGGCCTGGGGCACCTGGATGGCTCAGTTGGTTACGCATCTGATTCTTGGTTTTGGCTCAGGTCATGATCTCAGGGTCCCACAATCAAGCCTCACATCAGGCTTCTTGCTCACAAGGGAGCCTGCTTGTCTCCCTCTCTCTTTGCCCTTTCCCCTGCTTGCACTCTCTCTCTTTCTCTCTCAAATAAATAAATAAACCTTAAAAAAAAAGAAAGAAAGAAATGTGGTCCTTAATTGTCTGCTCAGGTACCACCCAGATGGGCATTTCCATTTCTTATGTCGACTTGTCCTGGGATATTCTGGGACCTCTTTTGTTCTGGGGAAATGAAAACCTGAGTTAGGACACCTGAATATATTCTGTGAGGTATTGTGTGAGGTAGGAAAAGGGAGTAGGTGGGTGACTTGAGATAGCCTTTTTTTTTTTTTTTTTTTAAATAACTTAGCTGGAACATGTAAAATTCAGAAAGCCCTCCCTAAATAGTGATGGGAGTAGTGTACACACACATAAAGGATGCCGGGTAAGTATGTGCTGATTTGACTCAGTAGGAGAGTTCTGTCCATTTTACTTCAAACATTCTGTGTAAAGTACCTTTCTGAATTTATCATAGGAACAGTGGGAAATTAGGCCCTGACCATCATAAGTACTAAAGGAATATTTGTTGATTGATTCGTTTGACTAAGGCCTTGTCTCTCTTTTACATTGAGAAACATTTTCAGCTCAGGTCAGTGTAAGAATGTATGAATGTAATGTTTTTGACTTATGTACTGACACTTGGTTATGCTTTTATATGGCTATAAGGAAGTAGAAGTCTTGAGTCCTGAACTCAAAGAATTTAGTATTATTCTTGAGCAGCAGTTTTCGACTGGAGGCAATTTTCATCAATGTCTAAAGACATTGTTGCTTCTGTGGAGATGCTTTTGGCATCTAGAAGGTAGAGGGTCAGGGATGCTGCTAAAACATCCTACAGTGTACAGGGAACTCCCACCTCACCAAAGAATTATCCAGTCCCAAATATCCCTAGTGCCAAGGTTGAGAAACCCTGCTCTAGAGGACAAGACTAACAAATAGAACCAGAACTTTGAAATTGGAAGGTTGTACTGCTCGTTAATAGCAGAGCAGGGACTAAAGCTTAGTTCTCCCTAGTCTAATGTGCTGGCAATTATATTTATATTGGTTTAAATACTACTAGTTCTGCTAATTGCTACCATGGGGCCATTTAAAGTCAGACAGCATATGACAGAATATTTTATCTAGCTTCATCTCCCACTAATCCTGATTCATACTTTTTGCTCTAGCCATGCTCATTTATTTGTATGCTAAGTAACTTTATTCCTTCATTTTTATGTTAGCCCGTTTGCCTGGAACATATTTCTCTCATTTCTTCATCTGGATGGTATTTCACATCTCCTCCAGAAGTCTTTGCCAGTCTATAACACTGCAGATTGGATCAGAAGCCTCTTCTTTATTCTTCCATAGCTAGTCCTCAGCATATAATAAAGAAATTTTCTGTATGTATGTGTGACTTCTTGATTAGGCTATGAGCATCTTAGGAGTTGGGTTTACTCTCCGGTCTTCATTGCCTAGCACAGACATGCAGTACACTGTCAGTCATAGACAAGAGATAAAGTAAGTGGTTAGAGAAGGGTGAGATCAGTGGGAAGTAGAGTATTGGGGAAGGCTTCATAAAGATTGTGACACTTGAAGCTCTTCATAATTCCTTGAAGATAATGATGAATGTATGAATACCTTATACTGGGCAGGCATAGTTCTAAGACCGTAATGGATTTTTTGGTGGTGTTTTTCTACAGGTTGATATGTCAGACCTCTCTCCAGAAGAGCAATGGAGGTAAGTGTGATGGTGTGGGCCCCTCAGGCTGGGAATTTTAAATTAGTCCTACTAATTGAGCTGTATATTTACTCTTTTGCTTCCTTGTCTGTGGGGAAGCCATGACTTGACTAATAGGAGAGGTCATTTGGGATCTTTTCCAGTATTCCTGGGTAGCTCCTTCAGTCCTGGGGAATGAATAGGTAATTACACCAAACTATTTATATTGCTTTAAATACTACTAGTTCTGCCATTTCCTAGCTATGCTATCTTGGGAGGGTTACTTGATTTCTTACTACCTTAGTTTCCCTGATTTGCACAATGAAAGGTTACAACAGTACTTACACCTCATAGAGTTGTGAGGACTAATATATGTGAAATTCTTAGAACAATGCCTGGCATGTGGTAAGCTTCCAGTAAGTGTTACCTGCTTTGCAAATCACTATCATCATTAATATCATCATTATCCACAAAACAGAGCAGAGAGCCCTGGCTAAAATATGGGAATAGTGTCTTCCTGATCTCAACTCTGCTACTAATTTGCTTTGTAACCAGAGTGAGTCAACAGTCAACAAATACCTTATTATCGTGATTGCTCATCAGAGTCTTCAGAGTGTTTGCCCTACAACGTAGCTGACCAATGAGCTGAAATCAACCATGTAAACTTTATTAATAGTGCAAAAAAAACCCTTTCATTTAGATTATAAAAATAGAGAATGGCAAAGATACCAACTTACGTGACAAACCCAGCAAGATTTTAGAAAACTTCAAGCTTAATATGCACCAATTGTGTACCTCAGCTATCAAAACATGGAACATGTTCATAGAAATATACTTTCTGCTTTAGGGAGGTGAAATTGTCACTGTGCTTCACTGAGTCCACACCGATTTTGTTATAATCACTGCATATTAAGAAGATCTTCAGTTAGGTAACATCTAGAAGAAGGCATCCAGGTTAATGGTTTTCATATTATGTTATATGAATAGCATTTAAAAGATCTCAAACTGTTAACCTAAAAGGGCACAGAAAAGTGGTAGTAGAAAGAGGATTGTTTTTTTTTTGTTGTTGTTTTTGTTTTAAGTAAGATCATATAAATCTTTGAAAGAGTAGCATTGGGAAAGAAGAGTAAATATGTCCTTTGTTGTTCCAGAATATAAAATTAGGTCGTTCATTAGGGAATGAAGCTATAGAAAGATTTTTGTCTTGTTATCAGAGACTTTTTAATAATTGTGATATATTGAGAGGCAGTGAGCTACTGCCCTTAAAGTATTGGAGTTTTATTCCTTTATTAGCACATATGAGTACCTACAATGTACCAGACACATGGTTCTCTAATTACTTTAAGAGGCATATGTTCTCAGCCAGTGGAAGTATTCACACAAAGATTGTAAAGACAGTGTTTGCATTGGGTGGGAACCTGAACTAGAGTTGTTGTTCTCTGGTCTTTTCTCCATACTTCTTTGATTATTTTGTTGTTGTTGTGTACATCCATTCAGTCAGATATTGCCTGAGAATAAGAAATTTATCTCTTATCTTTATAACTCCCCACAGTCCTTAGGTTTTGAAAGTGTCCTTTGCCCTTTTAGTTTAGCTTATCCTCTCAACAACCCTATGTGGGAAGCAGCAGAGATACAGACTCTCTGTGACAGATGAAAAAACTGTGATGTAGAGATGTGGATTTTCTTGGCCAAGGCCACATGGATGTCTGAACCTAAGTTTCTGACCCCTACCCATACTATTTGTTTGCCAGATTCTCCTACCCTGGATGAGTTGATGGAAGATGAATCCTGAGGTTTTGTGGCTGGCCTCTAACATTTGGCTGCCCACTCCCCCCACCAGTTTCCTCTCTAACATTTTATTGTGAAAAATCTCAGAAAAGTTGAAAGAATTACACAGTAAACACCTTTAGGCCTACCACCTAGATTCTACAGTTTTCCCTGTACTTGCTTTATCATTTGTCTGTAATTCATCCCACTGGGTGGTTCTTACATAGTCTGTCATTGCCCTTGGGAACTCTATGAAGATATCATTTGTTGTCCTTTCCCTCTCTCCCTAATACCCCCATCTATGGAGGATTGGCATAAAAGCTCCTGACTATGGGCTGTATTTGAATTTATTTCTCTGACTCCTTCCTCATTTCTCTGTTGGCTGACTCTGACTCTAAGAGGCCAAGGCAATCACTTGTTGCCAGTCCCCTGGACCAGAGAATGCCAGCCTTAGATGAAATAAGAGTTTCCAGTTGTGCTCTTCCTTAAGCTCTTGAGGAGGCACATTGTTGGATTAGTATAAAGTTAAAGCAGTCCAGACTTTCAGGCTTTAGCTAGTCTTAAACAGGATCCCTGGTCCTGACAGAGAGAATAGGACAAATAAAGGAAGACTTAAACCCTGGGATTAGTACACATCTGCAGTAGTACTTCTTTATTTGTGTCATAAATATCATTGACTAAGAGTATGAGACTTTATGGCTATCCTTCTCTGTGGGTTACTTTGTCCTTCTAGGGATGGTTGAAGTTGAAATAGGACTGAAATGGGCAGTAATGACAAGATTCTTCTGGGTCCTCTTTTCTACAGGAAAGATGTCAGGTGTTTCTGCTCTTCGGGGTGGGCAGCAGACAACCCACCTTTAACTCCAGTAGCTGAGCTTCTGAGGTCCGTAGAGCCCTTGTTCTATCCCAAATGCCCATTTTCTAGGGTGTGTTTTTCTAGCCCCTAATTTGTATAATAACCTGCAGTTGCAAAGGCCAGGAATATGTTCTGAGCTATGGACTTGTGGGATATCCCTGGAAAGCACTGCGCTTTTACTAGCACACCTTCCCTGACCTGCCTCGCCTCATCTGTTTGACTTTCAGGGTTGAGCATGCACGCATGCATGCCAAGCACCGTGGCCACGAAGCCATGCACGCTGAAATGGTCCTCATCCTCATCGCTACTTTGGTGGTGGCCCAGCTGCTCCTGGTGCAGTGGAAACAGAGGCACCCCCGCTCCTACAATGTAAGCCACTGCCTCTCAGTTCTTTTTCTGACAGTTGTCAAAAGACCCTCCTAGGTATTCTAGGGTCTAGCCTAACCCAGGCTGCATTTGGCAGGGAATAGACAATGATAATAGATGTTATGTATGAATGGTGAATAATGTATGGTGGGTGTGCTTTTAAGAGGCAAGTGATTCAGGTGGTAAAAAAAAGAGGTAGAACTTGAGACTACTTTTATGGCCAGAAAAGATAGTTCTTCCCTTTTAAACATTTTGGGACAGATCCATGAAGGCGATACTCTTCAGGAACTATTCAAATAGAGGGCAAGGTGATTGCCTTGTTGGGAAGACCAAGCCTTTAAGTGAATCTTACAGGTAGGATTTAGATTAATTAAAAAAAAAGGGTGGGGGGCGCCTGGGTGGCTCAGTGGGTTAAAGCCTCTGCCTTCAGTTCGGGTCATGATCCAGGGTCCTGAGATCGAGCACCACATTGGGCTCTCTGCTCAGCGGGGACCCTGGTTCCTCCTCTCTCTCCCTGCCTGACTCTCCACCTACTTGTGATCTCTGTCTATCAAATAAATAAATAAAATCTTTAAAAAATAAATACATAAAACATATAGCTAAATGGCAGAAGTAAATCATTCTTTATTGGTAATTACTTTAAATGGCTTAAATTGTTCTAGTAAAAGGCAGAGATTAGCATATTGATTAAAAAAAAAAACATGAGAGACTCACTTTAGAAACAAAGACACGGAGAATAAAAGTAAAAAGGTGGAGAAAGATATTCCATGCACATGATAGTCAGAAGAGAGCTGGGGTGGCTATTAATCTCAGACCAATAGACTTTAAATCAAAAAAATTTACAAGAAGGTGCCTGGGTGGTTCAGTGGGTTAAGCTTCTGCCTTCAGCTAAGATCATGAACTCAGGGTCCTGGGATAGAGCCCCACATCAGGCTCTCTGCTTGGCAGGGAGCCTGCTTCCCCCTCTCTCTGCCTGCTGCTCTGCCTACTTGTGATCTCTCTCTCTCTCTCTCTTTCAAATAAATAAATAAATAAATCTTTAAAAAAAAATTTACAAGAGACAAAGGACATTATAATATTGATAAAAGGTTCAAACCAACTAGAAGATAGTATAATTATGAACATAACTAAGGAGCCCCAAAATATGTGATGCAAAAATTGACAAAATTGAAGAGGGATAGACAGTTCGACAATAACGGTTGCAGAGTTCAATACCTGACTTTCACTAAGATAGAGCAACCAGGTAGAATATTAGTAGAGGGAACAGCATTATAAACCAGTTAGCTCTAACACATACACAGGGCACATGCTACCCAACAACAGCAGAATATATACTCTTCTCAAGTGCACATGGACCGTTCTCCAGGATAGAAAATACGTTAGGCCACAAAACAAGTCTCAGTAAGCTTGAGAAGATTAAAATCATAGATTCAGCCACTCTGGATTAGGACATGACAGGTGTAGTGTACTGGATTTTTTTTTTTTTTTAAACTATCATCTTACAAGTTTTTAACCTTTACAAGGCCAACAACCCTTTTTTAGCATCAACTTTGGCAAACACCTACGTGGTAATACTTTGCATAGAAAATACAAGTGCATGTATAGTAGTAACAATAGCTAACATTAATTGAATTTTCGCTTAATGCCAGCCAGTGTTCTAAGTACTTCACAACTGTGGGCTCAGCTAATCTTGTAGTAATCCACTAAGGTAATATTTTCTCCAATTACAAATAAGGAACTGAGACAGAAAGACTAAGTAATTTGCTCCAGTGATGAAACTGTTATGAACCCAGACAGTTTTACTCCAGAGTTTTTATTCTTCATCCCTAAATGGTTCTTTTTCTCTAGTATATGCTTTTTCAGACCTCTGATAATATGGTCAGACATGCCCAGGGCTGTGTAGCCCACATGATGTGAACTGCTGCACTATGTCATTTAATCCTCCTAGTAGCCCATGAGGTAAGTACTGTGAACAGACTGAGGCCCAGAGAATTGAGGCATGAAGGGAATACTAATAGAGCCAGGATTTGAACCCAGGTTTTCTGTTTCATATTGCATAATTTCTATTGTACCATATGTTGCTCCTGGAAAGGGTTTTCCATCAAGGGAACAAGGGATAACCTAGAGCATAGGAGAAGAGAGGATAATCTTTGACCTTGAGCAGACACAAGTTCCGAACATTACTGGTTTATAGCCAGTTCAAGTGTTGGCATGCACCACAAATAGAAACATCTGTACCTTCAGGACACAATACACTGAAGGACCACATGACACCAAGAGTTTCTGAGCTGGAGACCATCCAGCAGGCTTAGCCCTCTGAGGTGGGGCTTCATGTCTAGACCCTGGTCATGCTTTGCCCTGTTATCTAAGTCACTTGTTTGTCAATGTGTGATTATAGTGCGTACTCTATAGAGTAGGGATTACCAAAATGGTTGAGTTGAGCCTGGAAAAATAAGAACACTCATAAGCCAAGAGTAGAATGAGAACACCATTGGCATTTCTGTGCTGGTATTGAGAGATCATCTTAATTATACAAATTTGGCTAATCTGCAAAGATTTTTAAAAACCTCTAAAGGACGTGAGGATGCAGGTATGTACTTTAGTAGTTTTCAATAAGTATTCCTCAAAAAACTGTGGAATACTTTCTTCAAATAGTATCTTAAGGGAAAACCCAGTATGGAAAATAATTAAGAGGCCGCTCTGATCGATACAGGGTTGGATAACCCTGACCTCTCTGCTTCTCAGGATCATATATAGGAGTCATGATAGTGCTGGAAAACCACTGATAATGTCATTCATTAGTTAACCCTTAAAAGGAAATATGACTGTGAAGCCATTTATATAAGGAGCATGCACAATTATCCCATTACTTTACTGCCATACCCCGTAAACATTATGGTAAACTTCACTGGTGAGCAAACATGTCGACATTATAAATACCTTGCACTGAGAAACTTAAAGCCATATCTTTAAAAAAATTGGGAAAGGAAATCTGTAATGTCTGCTTTATTCTACTCTTATAAAATAATGACCTAGATTATTTTTTTAAACGTTTATTAACTTGTGTACAATGAATATTTTTACTGCTTTAATTAAAACACTAACTTTGGAAGAAGAAAATTTGCCCAAGATGCTAGTACACAATAAGCTGTCCTTTCTTGTCCTGTCCTGTCCTTTTTCAAGCTTACCAGAAGTTGAAGCTGTTTGGCTTGTAGGCAGTATGATACAGTGGAGCCAGCCCAGTCTGATTTGATCCGTCAGCTGTCTCACTTCCTAGCCATGTGACTTTATATCTCGAGCCTGTTTTTCTTATCTCTAAGTCTTATCTCTAGCCCATCTACCTCATGGGTTGTGAAGATGATATAAGATTCTATGGCAAAGTGTTTTTGTAAACTCTAAAACTAATGGTAGTGACTGTTGTTGCTCCCACCCCTAAGAGAAAAAGCTCAAGATGTAAAAGTTTTAAGATACTCTGTGGAAGAATAGAATTTTCTTTTTCTTTCTTTCTTTTTTTTTTTTTAAATTTTATTTTTTATACACATATATTTTTATCCCCAGGGGTACAGGTCTGTGAATCACCAGGTTTAAACACTTCACAGCACTCACCATAGCACATACCCTCCCCAGTGTCCATAACCCCATCCCCCCTCTTCCAACCCCTTTCCCCCCATCAACCCTCAGTTTGTTTTGTGAGATTAAGAGTCACTTACTTAAGGGTCTGTCTCCCTCCCAATCCCATCTTGTTTCATTTACTCTTCTCCTACCCCCTTAACCGCCCCATGCTGCATCTCCTCTCCCTCATATCAGGGAGATCATATGATAGTTGTCTTTCTCCGATTGACTTATTTCGCTAAGCATGATACCCTCTAGTTCCATCCACGTCGTTGCAAATGGCAAGATTCCATTTCTTTTGATGGCTGCATAGTATTCCATTGTGTATATATACCACATCATCTTTATCCATTTGTCTGTTGATGGACATCTAGGTTCTTTCCATAGTTTGGCTATTGTAGACATTGCTGCTATAAACATTCAGGTGCACGTGCCCCTTCGGATCACTACGTTTGTACCTTTAGGATAAATACCCAGCAGTGCAATTGCTGGGTCATAGGGTAGTTCTATTTTCAACATTTTGAGGAACCTCCATGCTGTTTTCCAGGGTGGTTGCACCAGCTTGCATTCCCACCAACAGTGTAGGAGGGTTCCCCTTTCTCCGTTTCCTCGCCAGCATCTGTCATTTCCTGACTTGTTAATTTTAGCCATTCTGACTGGTGTGAGGTAATATCTCATTGTGGTTTTGATTTGTATTTCCCCGATGCCGAGTGATATGGAGCACTTTTTCATGGACAGAATAGAGAGCCCAGAAATAGACCCTCAACTCTATGGTCAACTAATCTTCGACAAAGCAGGAAAGAATGTCCAATGGAAAAAAGACAGCCTCTTCAATAAATGGTGTTGGGAAAATTGGACAGCCACATGCAGAAAAATGAAATTGGATCATTTCCTTACACCACACACGAAAATAGACTCAAAATGGATGAAAGACCTCAATGTGAGAAAGGAATCCATCAAAATCCTTGAGGAGAACACAGGCAGCAACCTCTTCGACCTCAGCCGCAGCAACATCTTCCTAGGAACATCGCCAAAGGCAAGGGAAGCAAGGGCAAAAATGAACTATTGGGATTTCATCAAGATCAAAAGCTTTTGCACAGCAAAGGAAACAGTTAACAAAACCAAAAGACAACTGACAGAATGGGAGAAGATATTTGCAAATGACATATCAGATAAAGGGCTAGTGTCCAAAATCTATAAAGAACTTAGCAAACTCAACACCCAAAGGACAAATAATCCAATCAAGAAATGGGCAGAAGACATGAACAGACATTTCTGCAAAGAAGACATCCAGATGGCCAACAGACACAAGAATTTTCTTTTTATTGACAGAAATTTCACATAAAAATATTCACTATTCTATGGGGCGCCTGAATGGCGCAGTTGGTTAA